CACCAGCAAAACCTTCTGGAGTCTCAGCTGAGCTGTGAATAGAGCAGGCTGGTAGAGCTGGACCCAGCTCATAACTTCTAACCAGGGCTCCATCTCACCAGACCTGCCTTGAAAGCTCAGTGCTGCTTGCCAAAAGAGTCCTTAAACTCTAAAGCAAGTTGGAGCCATGTTTGGGTTTTTTCCTTGTCACTTGTCTTTATAGGCACTCTGTTTTCCAGCCACTGAGCAAACTTACCAGCACCTAGAATGGCCCTGCTTTTGGTCAGTATGATAGTGAACCATGGTATTACTGGTGTATTCCTGAGATTGTTCAGAGATGTTTTTGTGGGTAGAACAGCCTCAATTTCCTATCATTTCACTACCTAAGAATTTCCTCTGCACTGACTTGCTTTCTCTTCTTTAACAGCAAGAATGCTATAAGACACAAAGCCAAAACAGAAATCTTAATGTGTTGTATATCTAGTCATGGTGAGCAGAATTTGCTTTTCTTCCAAGCAGTTTGTTGACACAGGCTTTCTTTTTAAAGGCATTACAAATGTCTTCAAACTCTTTATCTTAAACTTTAGTATCTCCTTGTTTAACACTGATGTTACCAAATGATCTTGAGCATAGGTAGAGTCTAAGATAGTTGGTGAGCATTTGTTTCATATTCTTACCAGGTTTGGGTTTTCTGCAGTGTCTTGTGTCTCTTTTTTTAAAGAAATCTCCTTTTATGCATATTTGAGGAGCCAGAGTGGAGCTGTGAGGAGAAGCTCCATATCTGGGCAGGAAGTCCTGCTGACCACGCAGCCTGAAAAACAGGCAGCAGCGCCTGTTATGCTTGGAGCGAAGACTAACACTGTCCTCCAAGCAGAGACGTGGCTGTGCTTTGAGTTGTCACAGGGAGATGCTGCCCGGAGGGGTCTGAGCCTGCAGGGGAAGGCAATGCAGCAGTTGGTGGGTAAGTGCCCTGTCCCCATGTGGAGGGGTCTCAGGTCTGTTCACCCTGCTTGCTCCTGCTGCCCTGGCAGGGTCTGCCTGTGCCACAGGGGTGTCCCTGAGACTTCACGGGCTCACCTGAGCTGCCATCCCAGCACCTTGTCCTCCTGCTGGAGACCTACACCTCTGAGTGCAGAGAAGCCTGAGCCATCTCAGGAGCCATGTCTTGCCTTGAAGAGCCTCTCAATTTTCACATTGTTTCTGCCATATGTTTTCCCATAGCTGCAGACTCGTGGCTGGCTTGCGTGGTGAGGAGCCTCACACTGCAAACAAGAGTTCCCGAGGCAATCTGGAGCTCCTGGTTGCAAAGGCATGTGGTCTGGTCCTGGCTAGAGCAGTGCAGAAATGAGGGCTGGTGACTAGACCTTCTGCACACATCTGAAGCTGAATATGGCCAAAATAACAGCTAGGGCTTTTTCAGTTTAAGGAAATAGGTCCTCGGATTTTGTTGTATAACCCAAAGGCAAGAATCGCCTGTCAATGCCAACAGTGAAATGATAGCAGCAGTTTAAGAGTTGAGACTTTGCTGTATTAAATCTGATCCATTTTACTGTATTTGGGATGAGTAAATGTGCTGTGCAGGGTCAGTGGCTGGAAAGGTGCAGCCTGCCTCACCTGGGCTGGTCCACGAGCCTTACAGAGGCAGCCTGTGCTGCAAGGTGCTCCTTGGGCCGGAGGTGCTTGTGGGACTCGTCCACCCATCTGTGAGCTGGCTGTTCAGCACACGGTGATGTGGGGTACCACCCAAATGATCCCAACTCTGCCAGCTCTTAGGCTTCAGGATGCTTGCCCTGCCCTTGGCAATGGGCAGTCATGCCCAAGCTATTGTGTGGCAGCAGCTGGAGTTGGGTAGGTGTCTAAAGCAGATCCAGCAGCCTGGCCACAGGTCCTCCAGCTAACTGGGGTGATGGGTGGTGCCAGCCTGCTCTGGAGAGTGGGAAGGAAGGTATTCTGGTGACTACTGATTCATGGTACTTCCATGGGGTTTAGACTGAGTGAAGAGCAGTTAACCTCACTTAAACTTGGACCTGGGACATGAAGCAGAAGTTGTATTTGGATAAGCAGAATAAATTACCAGGCTGAATAAATTACCAAGAAGGGGTCTTGTAAATGCTGAGGTAATAAAGTAAAATACTGGGCGTATGTATCAATGTGGAGGTCACAGGCTGGTGGCCACCCCCAATTATCTGAGAGTTCCTGCACTGATGCTTGGACTGTGAAGCATCAGGTTGTCTTGTTGGGCATTCACATACTGGTTCTTGCTACTGACAACGCTCTTACCCCTTGTATGTAATGGAACTCTTCCAAATGAGTTTATTTAATCCAGATGCTTGTATTTTAAATAAACAACCATTCATAGTCTCTTGCCTATACTCAACTTCTGTCTGACTCGGATCAGAGTCAGTTAAAAAATCCCATCAGTTAGTAGGTATCTAGCACACAGTTCCAGAACTGGCAAGACTAAGTGGTCTGTGCTGGCATCTTAAATGTCTTTATCTGTTCTGGAGAGCTGGCACACAGCTGAAGAATCAAATGTTCCATTTCTCTGGATATTAGAGGCAGGGTGGAGTGTGTGTGCATGTTAAGACCATTTTTAAGATGTATTTTTATGAATTCCCAGGTTGAGAGGTCTCTTCACTGGCTTCAAGATACCTGGAAAAACTGCAGGTGAAAAATGAGGTGGAAGCTGAGGCACAAATGAAATAGCAGTCCCGTGGGCAAAGTGAGCTGAAATGGACCATTTAGTACCCTTTGGGCTGTATTTCTCAAGGATGAACAGCCTTGTATGGAGACTTAATAGCTCCGCACAAAAAAAAGTGTAACGGCTTGTCATCTACCTTAAAATTGGCAAACTAGCATCATGCTGTTTCTAGAACCATCTGTTCATGAAAGCTGTGTCCTTGCTAGCAGCACTGGGTTTTCCAAGTAAATGAAATGTCTTTCCTAACTGAGTGCTGTCAGATGACCTTTTCCTCTTGAAAGCTGCAGAACGTGGGTTTGAACGTCAGAGGAGACCTTGGCATGCCCCAGGTCTATGTGGGAGCTCTGCAGAGCCCAGGAGCTGGCGCTGGAAGCGGGACGGGTGGCTCCGGTCGCGAGTGGGAGGAAGAAGCGGCTGCTGGCATCGCCAGCAGCAGCACATCCCAGCACAGCTGTGGAGCCTGGGCAGACCTTAGGGCTGGTCACCAGCTAAGCCACTGCCTGTGGTGCCTCGCCACCCGTGCAGGGTCCCTGCAGAGTCTCCTCAAAGGGGAATTTACATTTTTTTTTAGCCACCCACAGCACTGCAGAGTGAAGGAGCTGAGCGCACTCCCTGAAACCCACACCTCAAAAAGAACCTCTGTTCTTTTACTGCCGTTGATCCCTCCATTTGAAAATGGGTTTTGGCAAGGATGGCCTCTGCCATCCTCGTGCAAAGCTGGGGAGCAGCGTGCCTTGCTGCGGTGGGGCAGCATGCAGCAGACGAGGGCTGCGCAGTGGAGAGAGGAGCTGGGGCTGGGTGAGGAAGGCGAGGAGCTGGGGCAGGAGGAGGTGTAACAACATTGATTTAAATAGCATATGATCTTGTAAAGAAAGGCTACCGTAACACAGAAATGCACATGGACTAGATTAAAATGGTGTAGGCAGGCAGCACCCTGCTCCAGCACTAGAAACCTCTGCAGCCTCAACTGTTCTTCTGGTGGGCTCTAAATGTGTGCGCATGAATGACTAGTCAGCGTCTAGAACAGGCTTGTATTTTGAGAGGGATTAGTCTTCTACAAAAACTTGATGAATGGGAGCAAGCACCAGAAAGGGCATGGTGGTGTGAGACCTGTACATGTTGAGCCTTAGCAGAAAACGCAGGCTGGGAGGTCCAAAGTGGTCAGAAAATGGCAAGAAACTGCTGCTTTATAATGCTTCTTGAGGACTGACAGTATTGGGTTTTTGCAGAGGTAGGTGACCACCCTGCAGTTCAATCTGGAACTGCACAGGGTTGATCTGCTGAGCTGGGGCGAAGCTCCTGTGATGCTGCTGTTGCTTCTGCTGGGTGTGTGTCCTGGGGGTGGGACTGTCTTCCTTTTCCTTAAGTCTGTTTTTACAGGGAACAAATGCCTTTCACACAGGAGTCTGACCTTCTGTAAAAACAACCAGACTAAGACAAATTCAGTGTCCCGTGGTGTCACTTCTCCCTGGTGCTTCCTGCAGTACTTCGGTTTACTCTCCCATTGTACCCTCCTGTGTTCTTCACATTCAAAAAGCCATGTCTGGTAAATCTGTGGTGTAGGCACTAAAATAGGATTATTTTCAGTGTTATTGGCTCCTGTTGTGTGTCTTGGCACTTGTCTGCCTCCTGTTAGGAGGTTACTAGGACAGTCTGTGCAGTGTTGAGCACCCATGTATATAACTGACTTTCTTCTGCTTTCAATGAGCAGCAGAGCACGTGGCACAGCCCTTCCCCTGCCTTTCCTCCCCAGAGCCTTTCCCCGCCGTTCTTTCTCCTCACTGAGGAAACCACTGTAAAGCCCAGGCATGGAAATGTGCCATATTCCCAAAATACACTTGCACCCCTGTTGAAAGAGCAAGGAGGTCTGAGCTGCAGTAAAGCATGTTTAGCATCAGGTCATGGCAATGCACCTCCATGTCTTGCTGCATGAAACTTCTGACTTGCGCAGATTCATATGCAATGTATAAGCTGCATCAAAATAACCTTTTAATGAGACCTGAGGCCTCTGTGCATGAGATTAAGGTGGCTGCCCAGGGTGTGTGCATGTTTCATGTGCCACCACCCTGTGCTGTTCCAGACACGGCCATCTTCCCTCGCTTTAAAGTGAAAACCTTTGTCCCAAGCATCCCTAAAGAAACTTGTAGCAGGTCTGCATGGACAGTGGTTAAGTGGCATTTGGGAGGTTTGAGGCTTCACAGGACATAAGGTATGGCTGAAAAAATTATCATCTGAAGGACAAAACACAATGTTAGTACTCTAGTCTTGGATAATCTTTGAGGATAAATCCTATCCAACTTGGTGTCTTGTTCTTTTCCAGATGTCGGTGAGCCAGCCACAGTCGGGAAGAGGTGTGCCTTGTTTACGCTGCAGAGGGACATGCACAGGCTTTGAGCCACATTCTTGGAGGTAATGTCTTGGCCTTGATGGGCCCTGCCCTGACACTGTCCCTTTAGTCCTGTTGATACCAGATTCTGGTGACGTTGAGTGCAAAGAACTGCAGAGCACTTGAGTGGTGTTGGGAGGTGCGGCGGGGACTTGCTGTCTGGCTAGGACAACTGTTGAGTTGAGAAGATGCTTGTGCTCCCTGCTCTCCATCGCCCTTCCCTCACTGGTCCTGCTCTTTTATTTTTTTAGTTGAAGTCTCACCCACAAGTGCTTAAACCAAGCTGAGGCTCTCATGCAGTTGGGTTGGGTTTTTCCTGCTTTTGCTAACATTGCCTGCTCCCTGGGAGTTGAGACTACCTCTGCTAGGTTGGTGCAGATCCTGGCAGAGAGCTGTGGCTTCGTTAGAGGAGAAAGTCAGGGTGAGAGATGGCCCAGCCTGCAGAAGGGTCTCATCTGCTATGGGACTGTCCTCGGCACAACCCTGTGTGGTTGGTGCTGCTCAGTGGGGTGTCAGGAGTGGGGCACGGTGCTGAAGCTGCTGCACACTGTGCTGGGCACGAGCCACCTGATGCCCTGTGCAGTGTGCATGCCGGAGCATGGATCCTCTGCCTGCCACACGCTGGCTTCCAGCCTGTCAGGTAGTTTGGAAATGAGCTGGTGAAAACAAACCCATCCTTGCTTGCTTTAGAGGCAGGGAAACGCAAACCAAAAGGATAATCCTACACTGTCAGTAGGAGTTGTGCCAAGTGCCTGGCTGTCGCCCTTGTCCTTGAGGGTGAGTGTGGGTGCAGAGCTGGCGGAGTGAAGCAAAGCCACTGGCGAGGGCTGGGTGCTGCATCCTGCTTGGCAGCACCACAGCGGCTGTTGTTGCTGGCTGTTCTGAGCACTCTGATGGCTGAAATGCTATGCTTAGTGCCAGGAATGTCTTGTTACTTGATACTTTATTTTCAGTTTTTCCTCTTAAAAACGCTAATTTAGAGAAACAGCCACCAGTATCAGTAGCCGGTGGGAGCCGACCAGGAGTGCGTGTTTGGCTCCGGGCAGGGGCAGTGGGCTGCTGCCCTGCCCTGTCTGCTTGCAAACTCAAATGGGAGAAACAAAGGGGGCTTTGAAATGGAAGTGAGCTATCCAGATGTCATTAATTAAAAAAGAATTAGTGCCCTCTGAAGCTGTCTTGCAAAACCCTGGACTCTTTTCTGTGAGCCCTGTTGCTGTGGGCTGTGCAGCTGGGTCCTGCCGCAGCAGCGCGCTGGAGCCTGCAGCCTGCAGGTGTGCTGTCTGTGCTGCCGAAATGCTTCAGTGGGCTTCACAACGGTGGCATGCAGCTGTGTCTTGCATCCTTCAGTTCCCAATTTCAGTACCTCAGCTGTTTGGAAATCCAAACTTTAAAACACTCGGTTGAATTGCTAAGTTTTTTAATTGACTCAATTAAAGGCTGGCTTGAATCATACTTGTTCCAGGATCCTGCTGAAAAAAAAAAAATACTTGGGGTTGCATCAAAATTAGTTTATCCTTTTTGCTATTAGCTTTTGATGGAAAAGCTGGCCAGCAGAAAGTGGCCTTATAGACTTATCTTTATGATTTATAGCTATTATAATTAAAATGGTAGACACTTAAGTATCAATTCCTCTTTTAGCAGTCACTTTAAGGGCATGTAAAGCTTCGTACGAGGTGAGGCTAGCACTCTGCTGCTGGAGATCTAATGATGCTTGAAGAGGTTCATACAGTTCACAAAGTGGCATTTCCGCATGGCAGGTGGGAGGCAGCAGCCTGTCAGTGCTGGTGCGGCCCCTTTCGCCTGGGGAAGCACTTAAGGATTTTCAGCTCTTGCTCCTGCGTGCCGATTTTCAGCTCTTGCTCTGTGCTGCTGCTGCTGATCCCTCTGGGGTGAAAACCTGGACATGAGCCAGCAATGCCCCCGCCCAGCCCAGAAGGCTAACCGTGTCCTGGGCTGCCCCCAAAGCAGCGTGGCCAGCAGGGCGAGGGAGGGGATTCTGCCCCTCTGCTCTGGGGAGACCCCCCTGCAGTGCTGTGGGACCTCTTGGAGTGGTATCAGAGGGGGCCACAAAAATGCTCAGAGGGTTGGAACAGCTCTGCTGTGAGAACAGGCTGAGAGAGTTGAGGTTCTTCAGCCCGGAGAAGAGAAGGCTCTGGGGAGACCTTACTGCAGCCTGACAGGACTTAAAGGGGCTGATAAGAAAGGTGGGGACAGACTTTTTAGCAGGGTCTGTAGCGATAGGATAGGACAAGGGGTAATGGTTTTAAACTACAAGAGGGGAGATTTAGACTAGATATAAGGAAGAAATGTTTCACGATGAGGGTGCTGAAACCCTGGCCCAGGTTGCTCAGAGAGGTGGTGGATGCCCCATCCCTGGAAACATCCCAGGCCAGGCTGGACGGGGCTCTGAGCAATCTGCTGTAGTTGAAGATGTCCCTGCTCACTGCAAGGGGTTCGGACTAGATGGCGTTGAAAAGGTCCCTTTCAACCCAAACCATTCTATGAATAATGCTGAATTTCCACATGCAGCTCAGGCCACAGAAGCCTTTTGTTTTATGCCATAACCCTGGTCTGTGTTTAACCTTTGGAAGAGGCTGATGCTCCATGGCCGAGCTATTGCATGGTCACGTGCCTCCCACAGCCCATCTCACATTGGAAGGATGATCTTGCTTGTCATCCACAGGAAAATCTGCAAGTCATGCAAATGCAGCCAGGAGGATCACAGCCTGAGCTCAGATGTGGAGGACGATCGGAAAATTGGGCGCCTGCTGTCAGACTCCAAGTATGCCATGCTTACCGCCCGGGTGAAAGGAGGTGACGGTGTTCGCATTTACAAGAGGAACCGCATGATCATCACCAACCCCATTGTCTCTCGGAAAGACCCCACCTTTGACACCATCACGTATGAGTGGGCTCCACCGGGGCTCACCCAGAAGTTGGTAAGACAATCCATGGCACGTTTGGCAGGTAGTTGTGTCACTTAACGTAGAACATAATTTGGTTCTGGTATAAAGTTATCAGGGAAAAATAGTAAAACGTATGGTTTGCCTTGGAGAGCAAAAGTGTATGTAACACTTCATATTTTGGAGAACTGCGTAAATAACTAGAGTAAGTAGGAGAGGGGAATAGGTTGCCTTTGGGTTTTTATAGGTTTGCTTACACTTCTAGGAGAATTCTTAATGGGCTTTACAACTATAAAGATCACTACTTTGGTCCAATAAAAACATTGCTGAGGAGAGATACCATCTCTGCTGTCCTGCCAGTTGTACAATGCCTGTGCAGCCCACGCAGGCGTTTGCATGCTCCAAAACCCCAGGCTGGATGTGAGAGCGATTCCTCCGGGCCTTCTCAGGATGTCGGGACTGGGATTTGGTCCTCTCCCTGAAGACCCCCAGGAGGGCACCAAGGAGGCAGAAAGCTATGCAAGCAGTGGGATGCGCACAAGGACAGCGTTAACTCCAGAGACCTATCTCCATGCTTCTAAAGCAACATGGATCTAAACCAGGCTTCTGGGAGAGGCAAGCTATTTGGGTGGTTTATTTGGGCAGAAGGAGTTGCCCTGGACTCTGACATCCCTGTTGGAGAGGGAGGTCCTGCCTTGCTTGTTGAGTCTGATCTTCTGCAAGTCTGGGTGTGAGCTTGTCCCAAGAGCAGCCAGTGCAGGTGGAGGTAGTTAGCTGGGACACCTCCACTAACCTGGAGGTTTTTTCAGCAAACACTTCAGGAAATTATGTTTCAGTCTGTCTCAAAAGCAGAGAAATTAAATCAATGTGGAAGGAAGCAATGCTGCCTGTAAATCCAGTGCTGTGTTTGTAAATAATTTTGTTATGGAAATGGGCTTTAACAGCAAAATAACTGTCATCTTTAATATAGTAATTATTGTCTTTGCTTGCTGAAGTAGTCATTAAAATCTTGGGCTTAAAATAGGCCTGGCACCTCAGGCTTATTAACCAGGAGCATGACTAGTTCTCACTTGTGCTTCTGTAAATCACAGGATGGCCCTAAACCTCCCCAGAACGCAGCCTTTTTTCC